GCTGCCCCAGCTGTGGGCCCCTCTTGACCAGGTCTAACTAAGGGTACTAGTAGATCTCCATGCACCCTCATCAAGGTCTTAATGCCTGCTTAGTGACGTTAAGCAAGACTGGGCTCTTGACCTCTCTTTCCTTCTTTGTCTCTGAGGGAGTGGGAATGCCTCCAGCTTCCAGAAACTTCCTCAATCTGGGAAGCAGAACCAAATTCACTTCACTTTGTCCAGCAATACTGAAATATTGGCCCCAAACTGCCAAGGAAGAGAAAGCCACAGGGAGGAACTGCCTTTATTTCCCATCCAGAAATTCCAGCCTGGTGGTGGAATCGCGTGGAAACATCCTCTCCTTGGGACGTTGGGGGGCCAAGGGAACTAGCTGACCAGCGCACCTGCCTGATGAGATGCCACCCTCAGGCTGATGTGACCTCTGGGAGACGAGTTCACCTCCAGGTCACCCTAGACGGGCTAGTGAGTCAGAAGTTCCTGCCAGCCGAGTCCCCAAGACTCAGGCTCATTGGATAGTTTTGTACTAAGCCAGGAGGGGGGTGGGGGTCTTCCATCTAGTAACTACTGGAAAAGTCCTGGAGACGTCATTCCAAAATGAAGCCAAGTTCCAGTCAGGAAATGCAGTGATGGAAAACAGCTCACAGACCTCTGTGGAGAAGGGACACAGCTCAGGCACACAGCTGTGAAGACAAGGATGCCTAAGACACAGACACAAGAGGGGAGGTCACGGGGCATTTGCAGTCAGCAAGGAGCAAGATGGGGGCTCAGGACAGAAACAGTCTCTGTGACAGCATGCTCAGCATTGGGGTCCTAGATAGGGAAAAGCAAGACTGTATTTCCTTAAGGGCAAGGGGTTACCTATGCCCACCTGGAGTTGTGGAGTTGGTGCCCTGAAGAGGAAGCGGCCATGAAGGGCCTGACAGACATCAAAGGGCACAGAGGGCTACAAAGTTAAGATGGTGCCAGGGCTTTAGACACTACAAGAGCTGTCCCTTCGGGACGTGACAAGACAGGGGAGCCACTGCTCTGTCATTGTCCGCACAATGCATGCCAGCAGTGTTTCTCCCCACGCTGGGTAGATGTGGGTCTCGTGGCTTTCTCAGTATATTTTCACAGTTGGGTCTCTTCCCAGGGAAGCCGCACCTGCACAGGGCTTGGCAGGGCTCTGGCCAGTTGAAGTCCCTCTGTAAGTCCATCGCTGTAAGCCACGTGGACAGAATGTATCTGCTTCTCTGCTTTGTGGCTTTCAGGCCCACAAAGCCCTGAAAGCAGGCTGCTCTGGTGAGGATGGCTGTGTCTGGAGGTCCCTCGGGGGGAGCAGTCTGTATCCCAGGCTTCCGGGGAGATGGGAGCAAACAAAACAGCCCTGCAGGAAGGTACGTAACAGTGCAAAGCCATGTCCGTGGCTCGTGCCGGTGACATTCCAGAAGAAAAAGGACATTTGGCCAGTCGGAAAAGAGAGGGACCAGGTAGTGTCCAGGGTGGGCATGTGGAAGGTTTTCTGGTACTTTGGATTAAGACAGGATACAGTGGTCCTAAGTCTTCCAGTCAGACTGTCAAAAGCATGTCTTAGCAGCAAAGAATTTGTAATCTTTTTTTTTTTTTTTTTCACACAAAGGTTAGTGGATGGACACTGGCCCAGGAAAACACAAGGCCAGCAGGATGAGGGTGGAAGCGGCTGTCGGTCACCTCTCCTGTGCTCACAGCCTCATGTGAAGTAGCGGCAGGGCGTGGAGTCAATGTAGCAGTACTGGGTGCACCGCAAGTCTCCATAGGACCTGCAGGAGCAAAGGCAAGGGTCAGGCAAGTCGCAGGCCACAGGCAGGCGAGCATGGACCTAGTTCTGAGGGCAAGGCACGTTCTAAAAGGCCACTTCTGGTGACTTTGTAAGATTGCATCAAACAGCAGCTATGGCTTCCATCTTGCTAAGCACTGAGGGTTCTACACAAGGTTTTCTCATTCTCCCTTGCGATGTGGAGCTCAGGGGAGTTCAGTCACGCTCCGGGGATTTTTGTGTTGAGCTCCAGCTGAGGGGCCAGGGTGGAAGGAGCATTAATCCTGCTCATAAGTCGGCATTTGTGAGCCAATCCTCCCTTCTCCTCAAGGCCTGAAGGGTTTCTGGGACTGCCAGAGAGAATGTGGTGAGGGAAAGACTTGCCTGTCTGGGTGGCCCAAAATGGCACCAGCGACCAGCGGGCACTATTGAGCTCCTCAAATATGGCCACTATGACTGTAGAATAAACTCAAAATTTAGTGCTAATTATTTTGAATTCAAATAATCACATCTAGCAGGAGCTGTCATATGGAACAGTGCACTCTATACCTCTACCAATCCACATGATAACCAATCCTGAGACAGCGTTTTTCACACGATATACCAACTTACAAGCGTCTCTCTGAGGCTTCTGGGCCTTTACTGACCAGAGTGAGCCACAGTCTATGCCCTGCATCCTACTCAAATCTCTACCTCAAGGGGCCAGTCCTCCTGAGGTAGCTTGGGAAATGTCAACATGGAGGCTAGGACACTAGTATACTTGTCCTGGGCAATGTGAGAAGCCCTTGAGGACTCTTAGAAATAACTACAGGAGTCGTCCTTGAATGGGATTTTTTCATGGGAGGATCATGAGTCAGTAGAACTAGATAGTCATGCTGGTCTAATCTTACCCATGCCCACAGGCGTGGCTAAGGGGTGCACAGGGTATTTCAGAGAACTCGGGCTGTGCAGACACATAGATTCTTTGGTATTCTCTGACATGGCACCTCTCTACTATGCTGCCCTCCTGGTCCCAGCCAGGGGAAGGATATGGCCATGCTGACCCCTGGCAGTACCTGCTGGCTGACTGGGAGCTCTGCTGCACCCCAGGACAGAGCTGGCAGCAGTGTCTGCCCCAGCCCAGCCTCAGGGGCACCTGCTCCAACTGAGAGAACACACAGGGGTTAAGCAGAAAGTTCCCTGCTAGCAGGGATCATGTGCTGTGTTATTTTTCACCTAGCCCCAGTGTCTAGAAAGTACCAGGAATGTGAGAGACACTCAGGAATATCCATGTGGGAAGGGAGCGGCAGATGGGTGTCACAGCAGCACACGACCCCTTCCTTACCCAGGGAGATAGGTCTCACAGGTCAGGTGGCCGAAGTCAGAGCCATCACAGTCCTCCACACCCGCGTGCCGGTGGCCATCTCCACAGTAGGCCCGATGGCAGCCTGAGGGGACACAGGAAGGGCAGCCCAGGGAAGGGTGGGCGGCACAGGCTGGCCTTAGCCCACAAGGCTGTGTGGCCGCCAGATCCCCAGAACACCACAGCCACAGACCTGAAGTCTCCCACAGACACATGAGCAAACGAGGAGACTGGGACTCCTGTCAGCCTCAACATTCAATAGCCAGGGACTGGGGCTACCATGTCATTATCTGAGGCAGTGGGATAAACACCCTGTCTGCCCTTCCCAAGGACAGCCTGAGTCCCTACAAAGTATGAGGTCGGTACCTGGGACTCTGACACCAAGGAGGAGCACAGTGACTCCTGCCTCATTCCTTCCGAGAAGGCCTCAGGGAGGTAACAAAGGGGGCACAGCCTATGTCCCTGGGAACCACGTGATCTTCCACAGAGACCCCCTAACCCCACCCAGGGAAGAGACCTCGTTTATTTTGTCAGGGTGTAGAGCTTCCAGTGAGGTCCTTCCTACTGTGTGAGCTCCCACTTGAAGGGCTGCCCATGGGCCAGAGGGAAGGGGGCCCAAAGAAGAGGCAGTGCCCAGGAGTTGGGTATAGGGCAGCCCCTGTGCCGCTGCAGGGACCTTGCTGTTGTCCCCTCCCCCAGTTTCACGAGGACAGGAAGCCCTGGCTCAGGGCCAACTCTGGGTAAGCTGAATCAGAGATGGGTTCAGCCAAGTCCTGTGGAGGACTCACCACAGCCAGACAACCAGAACCTCACTTTGAGATCTGAGTGGTCGGCTCCACCACGCCCTCACAGCTAAGGAAAGCTGCGCTGCAAGGAGGGTCCCTTCCCCTAGCGCTGTGGCAGCTAGAGCCTGTGCTGGCAATCTGTTCTGACCTGGAATTTGTGCCCCCTCCCTCACTGTTGTCCTTCAGTCCTGAAGACTAAGTAAGAGACACCATTACTTTTGTTCTGAGCTTGTCAAGAAGGATATGGAGGCTGAGGCAAGAGGATCACAAGTTCAAGCCCAGCCTGAGCAACTGAGCAACTTAGTGAGATCCTGCCTCAAGATAAAAAATAATAATAATAATAAGGGCTGGCCAAATAGCTCAGCGGATTAAAGCACCTGCAAGCAGGTGCTGGGGGCTGGGAGTTCAATCCCCCAGGCCTGCCCGGCTGGCCCCGCCCCCAGGGCCCCCTGAGGCAGCAATTGAAACTGGCAATTGAGACTGGGCCTGGTGGTGTGTGCCTGTAATCCCAGCTCTGGGGAAGCTGTAAGCAGGTGGATAACTACAAGTTGGATCTAGTAGTGAGACCATGAACACCCTGTGTTCAGATCCTTCCCTAAAAAAACAAAAAAAGTAAGATAAAAAATGGCTGGGGATTTAGCTCAATGTGAAGGCCCTGGTACTGAAGAAAAAAAAAAAAAAAAAAAAAAAAGGGCCTTGACAGTCACTGGCTGGTGTGCACGGGAGTGAAGGACTGGCCTGAAAGGAGGGCAGGAGTCACGAGGCAGTCGGGGCCACCCTCGCAGGCTGTAGCGCCCCCAGAGCACCGCAGCTGGTGTCCAGCGCTTGCCCTGGCTGCCCCCCACCCCCAAGGCTGCTCGGTGCTCACGCGCGCCGCCCCCCACAGGCCGCACTCACTGATGCAGTCGTCGCCCGCGTCGTAGTTTCCATCGTCACACTCCTCCCCGGGCTGCAGGACCCCATCCCCACAGGTGCCACGCTGGCCCACGGTGTAATCCACAGGGTAGAAAGGGGTCAGCTGGCCGAAGAGACGCAACGGTTAGCCTGGGAGGTGTCACGCCCAGGCCGCAGCGGGGCAGGGAGATCACTGCGCTGGGGCCGAGGGGTAGCTGGGCTGAGGCGCGTCCCTCAGCTTCCTCCTGGAGTAGAATGTCGGGTCTGATGGACACGGCATTCGTGAACTGCAGGGCCACGGAGACATGGGACCTCTGCTCAGAGGGGAGCTTCTGCGTAGGGATGCGGACATGCACAGGGGCTCAGAACGAGTGAGAGGGAGGCTGGCTAGCCCTGCCACGAGGCAGAGGCAGCAGCTCGGTCAGAAGGGGCCTGCCTCTTCTGTTTTGCATGCATTGCATTCCAAGGCGAGAGTGGTGGCTGTCGGGGATGTCCTCCCCCTGGGGTACCTGGATGGGCAGCCAGCCCAGACGGTCCTTGAAGTACAAAGATCTCTGGTCTCTGCGCAAGGCAATGGCATTCTGGGTGTTGAGCCTCTCCAGCTCCTCCTGGTTGTTGACCACAAAAATCTGCCAAAGAGCACACTGGTGAACCCTCCAGACAGCTCTGCTCCAAGGGGCGGGCGAAAAAGAGGAGTAAACAGAATCTCTGGGAGAGGGTTCCTGGTACAGTGTATCATTCCTTCTGAATGGGGAGGGATGTCTGGAGCCCCACACCTTCTCCATCCAATTGCTAATGTGTGAGTTTAAAATTAAAATACCTGCCACGATTGAACATGTTGAACTGTCTTAGATGTTCCCAAGTCTCACATGGTTAAGTAACTGGGCACCTGGAAATGGTTCTTAACCAAATGATCATACTCAAAGATGTTCGTGACAGTATCCTTTACATCAGTGAAGAGCTGGGGCACATCATATAAATACCCAACAAGAGAGTTAAATAAACCATGGTTAAATAAAGCTAGGTGGTGGATAGATAGGTGTGTATCTACGAAAATGATGTTTCAGTGCATTGATGTCCACAATTTATTTCAAAATAATCCCAGGGAGGGCAGGCAGAAGAGTAGGCATAAAATAAAAAGAGGAAAATGGAATTAGATGAGAGTTAATCATTGTTAAAGTTGGGTGAAGTGTGCCTGGGCTTGTTTTATTATCTGTTCTTTTATATTTATTTGAAATTTTCTATAATAAAAAGTTCAGAATGATACTTACAGAGCACAGAGACACAATGGGATTTCAGTAGAGGTAACTAGAAGACCACATTTTTATGCAATTTAATCTGAACTATATCAAAATTATCCTTTAAAAAAGGCAAAGGAAATACTGAAAAGTGAACCCATAATCAAACAGCCAATCTGATTTCCTTCTTTTGGTTTACCTCTGTGTTGCATTTTACTATGATGTGTGTATGCCCAGTGTCATGGGGGAAATTCAGTTTTACTAAAAGGAGTTTTCAGTTCTGAGAGAACCAGGAAGGAGGTCCTCGTGGACAACCCCCAGACTTTTCCCAGCAGTCTCACCACAGGAACTCTCGGGGAACTGGGCCCGTACACGGATTCCCCAGAGGAAGGGTTGTTCACATTCACAGAGGATCCACACAGACATCTTCCTGGAGGCCCGGGAAATCCTCTCTCCCCTTTGAGTCCCATGAGAAGCTGTCCTAGAAAGCAACAGACCACTGTTACTAGAACCAAGGAAGAGAAAACCAAATGGACCAGGGAGATACAAGCACCTTGTGTAACAGAAGAAAGGTTAACGCCTGTTATGTTTCAGGGTAGGTCTGAGACAGAAATCGAAACAGGTGACTTTGATCCAAGGTGTGATGGTGATAAGGGGAGAAAGAGCTAGTAAGAGATATAGTCTCCCCTTCATTCTTGCCTTGCAAGTAGAAAACATGACTGACGCTGTAGCAGTCATCTTGAAACAGTGAAGTAATAAACACAAGATGGGCTGGCGAGATGGCTCAGTGGTCTAAAGCACCTCCTTGGAACAAGCTTGGCAAAGCACAGGAACCACGGTTCGATCCTCCAGCACCACATGCCAGCCAGCCCCGCCCCCTGGTGGGCTGAGCTGGCCACACACACAATAAATAAATAAATGGAAAAAAAATTTAAAAAAAAAAATAAACACAAGAAAGAAGTCAATGGTGCAGGAAAGACAAGGGGCTCATGGGAACTAGGACTTTGAGATTTGTGGGTGAGCCAAAGCCAGGCATAGTTCCTCTCTGGATTTCCTTGTTACAGAAAATCAATGCCATATTTGTTCAGTCTATTAGCAAGGGATTCTTAAAGAAGAACACATTACTGAAGAATAACTTTCATTGTCTTTACTTAGATATAGATATATGAATATTTAAAGGATTTCCAGATATGGTATTCTTTTATCTCTCCAGAAAGCAAGCAGGACCTTTAAAAATGCTCAATTTACTTAGTCTACATGGACACTGAGAAAAATCAGTACATATCCCAAAAAGATATGATCAGGAAATTTACTTTCTAGTAGTGTAAGAGAATTGTTAGAGCAATAGTTGTCACCTTGAATTTTGTTTACTTTTTTTTTTTT